GGGGGCCCGCAGCGAGGCCTTGAGAGTCGCCTTGGGAGCTGGTGCCCCCTGCCCTCTGCCCGGGACCTGGGGAAAGAATTGAGGCCTTTAGTAGTAAGATCCAGGCTTTGGATAGCGTTGTGTTCTCCAGTTCCCATTTCAACCCTGGGACCGTGTCAGACATCATTATCCCCATTTTACCGAGTAGGCTAAGCAAGTAAATACCCTGAGGGACGCAGTTATTTATCCACGGGCACACAGCTAGGAAGGTGCAGAACCAGGTTTTTTCTTTTTAACGAGCACTGTGCACTTGCCTATCACCAGCATTTACTTCTAATTTATTTACCACATATATATCTCATCTGTGTCTTAAAAAAAATTATTTTGAGGTAGCTTACAATAAGAAGTATGTGCAGTTAGACTGTTCAAGAACTTTCAAAACCATGGTGTTCGAGCTTCGCTGTAGCTCAGGGCTTGCTGGCACGGCAGGCAAATTTGGAGATGCTGTGAGTTATGGGTAGAGCTGGTTCATGAGCCACACAGACTTCCCTGGTGCCGAATCCCAGAAGTTTACCAGAAGTCCTTTTTCCAATACTCAGTGAACAGCATAGTGCAAGAGACCCTTCTTGGTTGTCTGGTAGAAGTTGAAAAATCATTTGTTGGTTCCCGTATTTACTCTTGATCACCCTTACAACTGTGATCCCGAGACACTTCTGTGTGGTGGCGTCCGTGGCTGTCTCTTGGTGCAGTCTAGTGCTCAGAATACGGACAAGAACTGCTGCTTGGCCCTCACTTGTCTCAGCCAAGAACTGGATAAAAGGCGAGCTCAAGATTGAACTCGGGAAAGACACTACAGCAACCACAGCCAGGAGGCTCACTGAGGGGAGAGCTCCCGGCATTCTTCAGGCCGTGGGTCCACACAGCACTGTCACAGGCATTGTTACATAGTTTCCTCACAGCAGCCCATGGGAAGCGTGTAAGGATCAGTCGCATCCTCTCTTTAGAGATGAGGAAGCTAAGGATTTGGAGAAATCAGACAATTTCCGTAAGGGGCCACATAGTTGATGAGTGGCAGAGCGGTCGTCACAACTCAAGCGTCCTGATGCTAGCGTTCCAGCCCTCCGCCCTCTCTGGTGCTCCCTGTTCCTTTTTTTTTTTTTTTTGCGGTAAGAGGGCCTCTCACTGTTGTGGTCTCTCCCGTTGCGGAGCACAGGCTCCGGACGCGCAGGCTCAGCAGCCATGGCTCACGGGCCCAGCCACTCTGCAGCATGTGGCATCTTTCCGGACCGGGGCACGAATCCGTGTCCCCTGCATCGGCAGGCGGACTCTCAACCACTGCGCCACCAGGGAAGCCCCTCCCTCCCTGTTCCTTTGCAGCTGCTCGCCTCATGGAGTTGACCCTTTGCTTTGGGCTGCTTTGTTTGCCAGAGGTGACAGCCCCTGGCAAAAGGTGCAGGGACAGTGGGAGGAGGCACAAGGGTATGCTGCTGTGTGGACCTAGCCCAGCTACCAAGGTCAAGCCAGCCCCAGGACTTGGTGCCCAGTGAGGAGTCAAGTTTACTTTCCGGAGAACAGTGCGAATTCTGGGGCGACAGTTTCTCTAGGGACTGTGGAGGACCTCCAGAGGACCCAGAGGACTTGTGCTAGAGCTGAGTCCCGGTGCCTCTGAGCTTACTCATGTTGGGAGGCTAGGCCAAGAGCCTGCTAGTTCCACCCTGATGGGAGCTGGTTCCGACGGTGGGCACTAAGCAAGGTGCCTCTCTGAAGAGACCCTCTGTGCTCCCTGCGCTTTAGGGAGTATCTCCCCCCTCCCCCAGACCCACGGCTCTGCTCCTCTGTGGAGCAGTTTGGTTGTCCACAGGGCCTCTCTCCGGTGCTCCCATCCCACCCAGCCCAGCTCCTGGACTCTGTTTTGCCTCCCCGATGGGCAAACCTGAGTGGGGACACAGTCCTTCCCAGCATCTGAGCCCCACCTTTCCCAGGCTCTCTCCATAGGCAGCCGAGAACTGCCACCTGGAACTCGGCCAGACCCCTGAGGAATGGCCCTGCCTCCCAGAGTCCTGGCTGAGAGGGACCTTCCGGAAGCTATCTTCATGCTCAGCAGAGCATTTCTGCACAGAAAGTTGGGTGTCAATATAACTTTGAAGGGTTTCCACAGAGTAAAACTGTATACCCTTTCTCTGAAGCCTCATCAAGCTGGGACCCAACTACTTTCCATTCAGAAATACAGAGCACTTGCGGTGGTTTGGGGTCAGGAGACCCGGGTTCTGGTATCAGCTTTGTCATTAACTGTTGTTGTGACCTTGAGCAAGTCCAGTCCCTCCAGGCTTCTCCTCTCTTCTCTGCATGAAAATTTCTCTAAAGCTCATAGCTTGAGAAATGTTTGACCTTTTGCAGATTAGTATCCTTCTTTCTAATGAGATCATGGTCCCCTTTTCCCAAGGCTGAAGGGAACTTCAGGGTTAAGCTTTGTGTAGAAATATACCCTTAGCCTAAAAATTCTGCTTCATTCATTTCTCTTAATTAGTCGTTCTTCGGTACTTGTTCCCCTTATCTAAGCTGCCACGGTTATTATTATCCTTTTTGGAACTGGAAGAATAGAAGTAACAGCCTGTACTGTTACCTCACAGTATTACTGGAGCACAAATGAGAAATCATTCAAGTTCTTTGACTATGTATGCATGAGTTATCATTTTTGTTGTTGATGATCACAATGAAGCCCTTCAGGTGTATCTTGACTTAGTTTCCTTTTGTTAGATTTTCAGTAAAGATGGAGAAAAAAAAAAGGAAGGAAAAAAAAGGTAACTATGCACTGTGATGGATGTGTTAACTAACCTTATTGTAGTAATCACTTCACAAAATATATGTATATCAAAATCATCACGTTGGGGCTTCCCTGGTGGCACAGTGGTTGAGAGTCCGCCTGCCGATGCAGGGGACACGGATTCGTGCCCCGGTCCGGGAAGATCCCACGTGCCGCGGAGCGGTTGGGCCCGTGAGCCACGGCCGCTGAGCCTGCGCGTCTGGAGCCTGTGCTCCGCAACGGGAGAGGCCACAGCAGTGAGAGGCCCGCGTACCAAAAAATTAAAAAAATAAAAAATAAATAAATCATCACATTGTACACCTTCAGCTTTCAGAATGTTGTATGTCAGTTACGTCTCAATAAAGCTGAAAAAAAAAAAGGAGAAACAAACAAAGATGGAGAAAAACTGGTCTTCACTCAGTGATCTTTTTAACTTCTGTCATCATAAAAGTTACCACACACAACTTTCTTAAATGATCACAATGTCCGGGTTTGCTTCCTGTCTTAATTATTTTAATCTGAGTTATTACTGAAGTGGTCTCTCCTAAGACAGGAGCAGCAGGAGATTTGCCACCTTTGAGAAGAGGCAGCTCTCAAGGAGGAGGCTTGGTGGGGGGGGGGGGTCCCTGTAACAGAGGAGGAAGTAACCCAAAGTCAGTGAGACCCTCGAATTGTGATGGGCCCAAGTGAGTGCTTTCCTGATGTTGTAAGAATAGGCGCAAGATAGAAATGAATCACTGTGAACTTGAATTTAGCCTGGGCTGGGGAATAGCTGAGCCTCTTCCCTTTGCTGAGCCTAAGGCTGGCCTGGATGCTTTCTGAGGGGAATCGCCTGGCTTTTACATCCTGTGGGCCCTACTCAGGGCTCAGCCCTGCTTATCCCAGCCCCAGCCTGCTGGATCTGCAGGGACCCTCCTTGTGTTTTGCAGGTGCTTGTCCCAGAGATGGCAGCGTGGAGGCAACGCATCCAACTCCTGCACTGTCCTCTCCCTGCTTGGAGCCCCCTGTGCCTTCATGGGCTCGCTGGCCCCGGGCCACGCTGCCGAGTAAGTGGAGGGAGCCGGGGAGGGTGGCCCACAGGGCCGGGGAGAAGAAGGAAGCCTGGCCCTGGGTGGGCGGGTCTCTGAGAAATGGTTTGTGGCCACCAGAAATGGGTGGGACGTGGGGAGTGGAGTACCAGCATCCCAGACCCTCCCTGGTATGGCTTATCTGCTGCTCAGTTGTTAATGCTGCTCCTGTTAAAGGTTTCATTTTCACAGCCTGTTTCCTTGGCCAGTCCCTGGAGGCTGCTTCGGCTTCCCACCTTCTCCTTCCTTGTTTCCAACAGACTCTCTGCGGTGGATGTGACTTTGCCCTTCTCAAGTCCCTAATCCTGCCTGTCCTTTTGGCAGAAGGCAGTTAGGGACATGCTGTACCTGCCCTCTCTCGGGGATGTCCTGCATCCATGGTCCCAGGGTCCAGGCCTGCAGTTTCTTTCCCAGCTGAGGGGGCAGGGCCAGTGATTGTGTCCCCGTTGTTCACTGAAGCAGCGAGAGCTCCCTGCCCGAGGACACCCCGATGCCACGTGCTAAAGCTGGGCCCAGACCCATGCCTCCCAGCTCATCGGCTAGGAGGCTGCAGCCCGTAGTGGCCCACACGCTTCCTCTATGTTGGCTGCTGCAGGGACCCAAGAGCCCTTTGACCCCTGGCACTGCCGACTCAGCAAGCGCTTATCAGGCGGTGAGGCCCACTTTGCCCACTGTGGGCACAGGGGCAGGCTGCCAGGTTGCTGGCCTGTAAAGCACAGCCCTTTGAACCCTGGTTTGAGAGGGGCTGCTGCCAGAGCCCAGCCCCAAGCTGCAGCCAGATTCCCTTCCTTATGAACTGGCACGAAGCAAATAATGGGGCGAGAGCCTGCCCTGTGATGTGGGACAGAGGGACCCGGAGCCAACAGCTGCTCACTTGTCAGCCCTCTTCAGCAGCTGCCTTCCCTCCCAGCTAGAGCAAGACCATGCCTCTTACTTTGGGGTGGTGGACCCACCTTTGTGTGGCAATCATGCTGATAGCTGGGCCATTCTAAATTCTCCCCACGTGTTCAACAAACACTGAATGAGCACCTACCATGTGCCTGGCACTGTGGGTGCAAAAAGTTATTTGGCAAAAACCAAATCATACTCTCCATGCTGTGGGAAAGCTACTATTTAAAGGATCCTTGAGACGTAAGGCAAGGAATGATGCCCCGACGTGGTACCTCTATACAAATCTGTATTGTCCAGCCTTGGTGTTGCCGAAAGTGGGGTTCAGCCATAGTGAGAAAGGCCAGGATGGTGGCTGGACTGCTGGGCGTAGTGGCCACAGCTCCTGGTGACAGGACACTGCATTTCCAAAGAGCTGGGAGGGGTGGATGGCCTCCTTGTTCTGCTGGTACAGTCTTCCTGAGGGGCCACCCCCCGGCTCACTCTGATTGGAGGGGATTCTGAGCGAGAGTCTTGGACCCGGTCCAGCCTGAGGGGCCTCAGGCACTGAGAGGGCTTGCCACTGTGGAAGGAGCGGGCAGTGAGCAGGCCCACCGAGGCAGCACCACTTCCTGGCTGGGCAGCGTGGAGGCAGGTGTAGAAGGAGAGGAATCATGTTAGGACTGGAAGGACTTCAGAGAGTGGAGTACCAACGGGGATGAGCAAGCAGAGGGCACCTGGGGACAAAGTATCACCTTGGTAATTATTAATACTGCCTGGGCCTTGCATGATGCGGGCCACAGTGCCCTCACCTGCTTGGTTCAAACAGGGTGCATGTTCTAGGTCCCAAATCTACCCCATCTAGCTTTATGAACGTGAGCAAGTCCTTTCCAGCTTGAGTCAGATAGAAGGACAGGGTCAGGGTTGGAGTTTGCTTCAGTCAGGACCTAAATGAATGTCCCTTAGGGTTTTGCTCACTAAGCTCCAGCCATGCTCTCCTGCCTCTCCTGCCTCCACACAGCCTGTGACAGTGACTCCCAGTCCCATCCTAGCCCCTGTGCTTGCACCCCAGGGTCCCCGGTGGCCCTGCCACCTACCCTCCAGTCCCCAAACCCCCGTCGAACTGCGCCTCCCCGGGTTACTCCGCCCTGGCAGTTTTGTCCTGGACGACCTTCGCCGCTATTCCGTGGACCTACGCTACACGGTCTTTCAGACCACGGGCTCCGTCCCCATTTCCACAGTCATCAGCAGCGAGGCCAGTGGTAGCCGCACCATCATACATGCCTACAGGTTTGTACATCTGTCTGCGCCTTGCCAGCTGCCGCCGCCATTGCTGTCACTCAGCACCCAGAGCAGGACCCTTCTCTCCAAGACCCGCGTGCTCTGGCACCGCTCCCCACCCCGCAGGAGGTCCAGGCCCCTGGTAGCCTCTAATCTGTGTCTCCTTGCCCTTCCCTTGGCTCGGGCTCCACCCCAAGCTTCCTGGTGGCTGACTTCAGGCAGCGGGGCGTGGACGTGTCTCAGGTGGCCTGGCAGAGTAGTGGGGAAGCCCCATGCTCTTGCTGCATCGTCAACAGCTCCAATGGCTCCCGTACCATTGTGCTCTACGACACGTAAGGCCCCCTGGCCTGCCCTGCCACAGCCCACCAATTAGCTCCCTCACTTGCCACGTGGGCAGCCCACTTGCCCGCCCTCTGTGGCCTCTCTCTTTGTACCAGAAATTGTCCCTATGCCAAACTGTTCAGTGATTTTGGAATTGTTCTCAATTAGGGGAGAAGTGAGGTGGGAAGGGATGGGCTTTGCTCTGCCTGGCGACTTGGCCTTGGTCGACACCAAGGATGGGCGGGCAGGCCTGTGCAAACTGTAATTTATGATGTGATTCTTCCATAATCAGCCAATCAGCAGCCTGGGTGTGAGTATGGGGAAATTGTTCTGAGGACAGAGGGATGGGAGATGTGATTCAAACCGTCTTGAGCCCTGAAGGGGGGCCCACTGGGGTTTCCAGGGTCAGCCCCAGAGTTGCCAGCCTGCAGCATGGCACCAGGAGCTGAGGTTTGGGTGTTCGAAAGAGATGAGCAACCCCAAAGGTCCCAGCATAATGAAGCCAGACCAAATGCCACACACCACTCACAGCCATTGCTGAAGGAGGGAAGGGGAACACTGGCTCAGCAGAACAGGGCCATCTGATGTGTTGCTAACCTGGGGCAGGGCAGGGGAATCCCTTTAGGGTCCCAAGCTTCCAGGGAGAGACCCCTTCTCATCTCTCCCAGATTCCCTCCTGAAAAATCTCAAGAGGTTTAGTTTACTGAGAACCTAGTGTGTGCCAAGTACTCTGTTAGGGCAGAGATGGCCCAAGCCCAACTGCCCTGGGGTTCTGACTGTCCCTGCTGCCCAGCATGACCACTGGACCTGCGGGAGGGGCAGTCATCCTAGAACAAGATTTATGACCAGTGGCCCTGGGCTCTTTGTGTCCCGATGAATGAGTGGGTAGGCATACATGCTAGGCACGATCTTCCCATTGGGCAACCCTAGTCATCTGCCCATTAAGCAACAATCTGTAGCAACTTTGATCAGGGACACAACGTGGGTATTCACAGGAAGGGAGGGAGAGGAGCTCCAAGGAGAAATGTTTATTGCCCACTGGCCTCAGTCCAGGCATATCCACACACATTATCTCCAGCTGCAGCAGGCCTGCGAGGCTAGGGGTTCGGTCCCATTTACCAAAGGGGAAGCACCTCAGAAAGGCCACAGTCACCCAGCTAGTTAAATCGAAGGAGGATTTGGCGCAGAACATGGAGGGGAGGACACTGGCTGTGTGTAGGTCTCTGGCCAAGGAAGGTCAAGGCGGACGGACCCTTCCCAGGTCTCCACACCTAAGTCGGCCAAAAATAAACTCAGCCTCAAGCACCAACCTTGATCCCAGGGTCCTAACATGGAGCTGCCAAACTCAGGACAGGGCTGCTGTCACCACTGGGGTGCCTGAAGTGAGAGGACCCAGACCCGAGCTCCAGGCAGAACGCGTGGCCTTTGTAGTTTCCCGGGGCACTGCGTGGTGGTAGCTGTGTGTGCTGCTGGCAAGAGGAATTCTGGGAGTCGTAGTCCCTGGTGCTCTGAAAGCATTTTGGGAGATATGGTCTCCAAGGCACGCAGAACTGGTCCCTTGCTTGACATATGTGGTGGTTGCGTTTGCCCTTAGATAATATCACAGCCTCAAACACAGGAAGGGGCACCCTAGGAAATTGCCTCCAGCCCCCTGTCTGGATGGAGCTGAGTAGGGCAAGGAGTGGTCTCGAGTTTAGCCTGAGACAGGGTCTGTCCTGGAGCTAAGCCTCAGAAGCATGTGCTATAGATTCAGCTTCCTGCCATGCTGCAGGCAGCGCCAGGCATAGGGGCCCTAGCAGCCAGTTAGAGATCCTGGCCCTGGCTGACCTCACCATGCCCCTTCTCTGTCCTTTCCGTCCTGCGACTCAGGAACCTACCAGATGTGTCTGCTAAAGACTTTGAGAAGGTTGACCTGACCCGGTTCAAGTGGATCCACATTGAGGCAAGCCCTGCCCTACCTGTGTTTTGAGGGCCTCAACCTGCCACAGCCCCTCCACATGTTCCGCCTTCTTCTTGGTTTCTTTGAACCATGAAGTACCTTAGAGGTCAATGAATCCAACCCCCCTCACCCGCTCTCCATCCTCCTTTTATTAGTTTTCAGGTGGAAACTAAGGCCCAGAAAGACTGGGTGATTTACTCAAGGTCACACAGCAGGATGTAGGTGCCAGAAGCAGGGTGCTGGCTCTAGGCAAAGTCTGGTGCTTTCTGTGTTACAGGCTGCCCCACTTCCTCTGGACTTGGCCTCTGGCAGGGGCCTGGCTGTGGGAGGCCTGACCCGTTACCTCTGGGGAGGCAGGAATGGGAGGGCCTGACCCAGCTCCCAAATAAAGGGAACTAGAATCTTCATTCCAAGAGAAGTTTTGGAGTCTAGGTGGGAGGAAACCTTGAGAAGTCCTGAGTTCTGACCCTAGCCCTGTCATTTAATTTACTGTAGGTCCTTAGGAGAGTCTCTCTTTTATGCTTTCGTCTTCTCATCTGAAATGGGAGGGCTGGTCAATAAGGTCTCCAAGGTCCAGAATAGCACTAGGATTCTGAGACTTAGGATGGGGTTCCAGCCCAGCCTTCCTGGCCCCTCTCCCCCATCACCCATGGTTCCAGCAGGGAGGGAAGAATGAGGCAGAATGAGACCAGCGCCCAGCTGGTCCTGAGTTGCCTGCCCTGCCCTGCTCTGCCCCAGGGCCGGAATGCATCGGAGCAGGTGAAGATGCTGCAGCGGATAGAACAGCACAACGCCAGGCAGCCTCCGGAGCAGAAGATCCAGGTGTCTGTGGAGGTGGAGAAGCCGCGAGAGGAGCTGTACCAGCTGTTTGGCTACGGAGACGTGGTAAGCATCCCCCACAGCCCCCCACCTTGCCACATCCAGCTTAATTTGGTCCTTAAAGGGAGTCCGAGTGTCCCCTTGTCCTGCCTGTGACACTTAGGATGGCAGTTTGCGGCTTGGTGATGTTGGCAGGTGGGGGCAAAGCAAAGAGGCAGACCTCTAGCTTAGGGCTCTAGTGCAGGCCTCAACAGTGGCCAAGGAGTAGAATTTCTCCACCCCAGTGGGCGCATAGGTATGAAGGCAGCCAGAGGGCTTGGTCAAGGCCAAGACGGCCAGCCTCAGGGCCAGCCTGCGTGGAAGCCTCTCTTCCCTGGACCTCCTGTCTTTTCCTCTGTCAAATGACGGGATGGGACTGTTCTCCGGGGTACCCTCCAATTCTGGGGTGGGAGCCACTAGGGGGTGAGGGAGGATGGGAAGGGGACTTGCCCATGGTAAGTTTGGAATGTAAATGGAATCGGGATGATAATCCTAGCATCACAGTGGAAGCTCGTTGGGCCTCAACCTTGGCTGCACGTTAAATGATGTGGATGCCTGAGCCCCACCCTCATTTTTTTTTTTTTTTTTTTTTTTTTTTAATTTGGTTGGTAGAGGTGAAGCCTGGGCTGAAGTATTTTTTAACAAAACACCCTGGTGATTCTAATATGTAGCTTGTGTTAAGGAAGCTCTAGAACTCCTCTCCCTTTGTTTTAAAGATGAAGAAATCAGACCTAGAGGGCAGAGCTGTACGCGGAAAGCCAAACAGAACAAAAACCCTCCTGAAAGCTGTGGTTTTACCTGCCAGTTGTAGATTGCGCCCCAAGGTGACCTCAGGACTCACTCTGGGTTTTCAATTGTGAGGAAATTCGTTGATCTTAGAATAGGCCGGGGCTTTCGTGTCACAATTTACATGGCTGTTTTCTAGCATATCCTGAGCAAGTATGAAAACACGTTCCTGAGGGACAGCGAGATGCTACTTGGGGGGTTTAGGTGGCCACGATGGAGGAGCAGGTTGCTGGTAGTGAGGGACAGCTGGGGTAGAGCTCAGGTGACTGTCAGCCTCTCTTCCACTGCCCACAGGTGTTTGTCAGCAAAGATGTGGCCAAGCACTTTGGGTTCCAGTCAGCGGAGGAGGCCCTGAGGGGCCTGTACAGTCGCGTGAGGAAGGGGTGAGCTAGCGGAAGCCAGGCAGCGGCCCGGGTACGGGGAGTGAGGGAGACTGGCCTCCAGGGTCTGCCCCGGGGAGGGATAATGAGGCTGGGGGCCAGGGCTGGGCTAACACCCAGCTGAGTGGAGGGTGTCACAGGGCTACGCTGGTCTGTGCCTGGGCTGAGGAGGGTGCCGATGCCCTGGGCCCTGATGGACGGCTGCTCCACTCCGACGCTTTCCCACCGCCCCAGGTGGTGGACACTCTGGGGGCCGGAGACACCTTCAACGCGTCCGTCATCTTCAGCCTGTCCCAGGGTGAGTACCCCAGCAGCAGGCCCAGGGCCGGGGCCTGCCCCTGCCCAGAAGACCCGGCTGATCTGGCTGTTCATCCCTCCCTCCAGGGAAGAGCATGCAGGAGGCACTGAGCTTTGGCTGCCAGGTGGCGGGCAAGAAGTGTGGTCTGCAGGGCTTCGATGGCATCGTGTGAGTGCCCTGTGGTAGGAAGCACCGGCTCACATCCCCACCCCAGGCCAGCATCACTGGCTGCCGTCGCCCTCTCTTCTCTGGCCAGCTGGCATCAGGCTGCCTTGCCCCCCGGGCGGATGCAGGCTGTGGGAGGGCTCCACTTGTGACCTGGCATCTCACATGGCAGAGCTGCAGAGCAAATAAATCTTCCCCAGAGCCAGCTTCCTTCTGGCAGTCTGTTTGTCTTTGATGTCTGAGCTGCTCTGGCTGGGGATTCTGGAGGCTTTGATCCTGCAGTCCTTCGCCCTTTTTTTCTCTGTTCCCCAAATTCACCTCCTGCCCAGGCCCAGAGGAAGGGCCACCCAGACCAGAGCAGCAGGAAGTGCCCCAGGCTTGCCACCAGCTGTGCCCCTGCTGGGGACCCAGCTCAGGGTAGAGGGCCAGACTTCCAGCCTTCCTGGTGGGGGAGGAGCCTTAACCCCTTGCACCCCAGGGAACCTTCCAAATAGCCACAAGCCATGAGAAAGCTCCTCTGGGCCCCAGCTCTGTCACAAGACTCCAGTGGCCACAAGTGTGTCCACATGGCTGAGCCAACCTGACAGGCCAGCAGGCAGGGAGCCTACTCTGGTGTGGCGGGGCCTCTGCGGTCCAAAAATATCTCCCCAGTGACTGACCCCGAGCCTGACCGCCCCACCCTTGGAGCCGCCTTGTAGTTAAGGCGGTGCCTGAGCCACAAATGTGACCTGGAATGCAAAGCATTGCTTTCCCTGGGGGAGGCCTGGTCTGAGGGCATACGGGAATTGGTGAATTTCCATATGGGAGTTGGGGCAGGGGGGTAAGGCCGTAGAATGTGATAAAAGGTATGGGCTTTAGGCTCAGACAGGCCTGAATTCAAATCTGCCACTTACTGAGCTATGGGACCGTGAGTACATTACTGAACTCCGTCTTCCCCAATTTCCTCACCTGCCAAATGGTGCTAATTCTGCCTGGTCACAGAATTATCGTGAGGATAAAATCACAATATGTAAAATGCCCAGCATGATGCCCAGTGTGTACTAGGTTCTCAATAAATGGTAATTATTAATATTTTCAGGGGTGGGGAGCAGATACAGGATGATGGAGAAGATCTACCCTGAACTGCAGGAGGGCGTCCTAGTGGTTAGGCCCCAGGGAAAGGCTGAGCTCCCTTCCCCGGGCTGTCTGCAGCTGGCTGCGGCCTAGTGCTGTACTCTGCTGTGCCTCTGGGTAAACTGAATTCCTGCCCTCCCAAGAGGACTGCCCAGTCCCGACCCCCTGCAGCCTGAGGTCAGGGCAGGCTGGACCAGTGGATCGATCGCGCAGAGGGATGGGTTCATTTGGTTCTTTATTGGTTTTCTGGGCCCTAAAGCTGCCCTTCAACTTAGGGTCTCCCTGAGCTGCACAGAAAGACCTGCCACCTACTGGGGCCAGGAAGGGGGCACAGAGGTGGTCGTTGTCCTAACACACACACCCTACCCTTTGGGGCATATGTTCTGGCACTGAGACTTCTAGGTGTGCAAACCTGTATCCTCAAGGTTTATATCTCATCATTCTCCAGCTGAACAGCATGAACCTCAAGCTCATTTGGGGTTTTCTTAGACTCCAGTGTTTCCCTTGGAAGCTCTTCTGCTCTCTCTCCAGTGTCCCTGGCTTCTACCTGTCCCCCAACCTCCCCTCCAGGGCCTGAGGCTTCTCTTGCAGCCTCTGCCTGTCCCCCAGCCTCCTGTACAGGTTCCAAGGACTCCCTTCTGGCCTCCACCTGTCCCTCAGCTTCTTCTCTGGGACCTGGGGCTTCAGGTGCTTCTTGTCTTGACGGGCTTTTAGCCAACAGAGGCCGCCTCCCAACATCCTGTGGCTCTGGGGGCTCTTTGAGATCTGTGTGCCTCGGGGCCTCTCCGGGGAAGTTGACGAGCTCTGCAGGGGTCATGAGCCCATCCCCATTCAGGTCCTGGGTCTCCAGCACCTCATCCACTACCAGGATCACCTGTGGAAGGGTCTATAGTGACTGGAGATGCTCCCAGGAACCCTGACCCTCCCAACACCCCCCTGCATCCCTGCCATGCAGGCTTTGAGCCCTCCTTTCACAGGGGATTCACCAAAAGAGTCATGATGAAAAAAACCAAAGCCCCAGGGAGCTGGGTCTTCTTCTGGGAGAAGGGCCTCCATCCAGCAGGGCTTACCGGGTCGGTGGTGGGAGAGTCAGAAGCTCCAGGGTCCAGAGTTGCTGTCAACATGGACAACAGCTCCAGGCCATCCAGCTGTCCACTCTGGTCGTAGTCGTGGAGAGCAAAGAGGTAGAGGAGAACTAAGGAAGAGAGGCTGGATCAGAAGAGGCATCAGGGGACAGGTGGATCAGGCAGGAGTCGCGGGATGGCCTGAGGTCAGTCCCAGCTCTGGCTGCCCTGGGCCTCCCGTCCACGGGCCCCATCAGCCCAGCCCCTCACCCTGCTCCCGGCTCATGTGCTCCGGCTCCTCTTCCATCCTCTCTAGTCCCTTTAGGTAGCTCTGCAGAAGTCTTGCAGAAGAGCGGAAAGTCAGTCCACGAGAGGCCAGTCTGCAGCCCCAGGCCTGGCCCTCGGGTGCCCCCCACCCCAGCCTACTCACTGAAGTTGCTCCTGGCCTGGCTGGAAGGGGTTGGGTAGAGGTGGATGCTGCACTTCAGGGTCCAGCCTGGAGGAGGGAGGGAAGCACCGGCCTTGCAAAGGGCCTCCTCTGAGGGCCCAGCCTCACAGCCTTCCACCCCCAAGCTCCTGGTAGAGTTCTCCCCTCAGACCCAAAGGGAGCTCCTTCTCCAGGCCCCCAAAAACCTTGTGGGGAGGAGGCCAGAATGGCCTCCTCAGAAGCAGAACCTCACTCCCCAGACTCTGCCTTTGCAGATTCCTAGCTTAGATGGTAAGTGAAAATCCCAATAAAACATCTGGTTTGGTGGAGGCCAGAGGAAGCCGCACCTAGTAGACACAAGTTGGAGACCCAAGAAACCACCATTGTGGGCGGCAGGACAACATGCATCATGGCAACCCTTCCTCTGTGATGCTGGGAGCCGAGGGACAGGTCTCTGGCTGGGCCCGGTGGCACTGCCCAGTTTTGTACAGACCCGATTTGCTCCATGACACAAAGTGGACTCTTTTTTACCCCAAGTTGAGGGCATATATGTTGGTTTTGTAGTTTTGATCTGCTCAGGGGCTTTTTGTCAGTCTTTAAAGCTCAAGATTTGCTCGCAGTTCTGGACAGGGATCCCCATTTGCCCAAGTCAATCCAGATGTGTGATGTCAGAGAGCTGGCAGGAGCTGTTACAGCAACTTTTGTCACTGCTGCCAGCCCTTGCTGCTGTGGCTGTATCCGTCCCCCGACCCCACCCAGCATACCCACTGCATAGTATTAAGACACAAAACCTCAAGAAAGATATTCAAATAAAATAGAAGTGATATGCTAATGATCTCTATTTCTTTGGAGCTTCCACTATAAGGTCTTGATAAGAGGACTGTAGCCCCTTCCCAAGCTTATAGCCTCACATCTCATTGGAAATGAGCTCCCAGTTTCCAAGTGAGTCCAGCAAACGTGTCGATGCCCACTTTGCAGAGGACACTCTAACAGGCGCAAGGCAGAAGCTGAGGTGGTGGGGATGATATAGAAGTCAGGGAGCGTACACCCAGTCTCCGCCTCCCAGAGGGGCCCACAGCATACCTCCGATTCTCCAGAGACCCCCCTGCTCCCAGCCCACGGCCCTGCCCTCTGAATCCCGTTACCTTGTGGTGCCGTGTTTGGGAACAGCCTGACTCAGGGGCAGTAGCAGCAGCAGCACTAACATTCTCATCGTCACAGGTAACATCCTTCCTGTAGCTGGAAGTAGGAAACGGGGTTAGGGAATCAGAGGGAAGCAGTGTCTGCCACAGAGGGGGGGAATTGGTGGGTTAGACAGGAACGCCTCTCTCCCTGCCTCTACCTGCCACCCAGGTGACAGGACTCCTGTGCAGGGAGGAGCCACACACGGACATCAGGAACGTTGCTCAAAATAAACCTTATTCCGGATCCAGCATGTAAGGCGCATAACGCAGACCTGTGCTGGGGGAAGCTGTGCTGCGGGCAGGAGTATCCCACTCCTCTTGCCCTGCCAGTCCCCCAGGTGCTCGGAGAAGTGCAGTTTAAACACATATCATGTAGTTCAGTCCACTCATTTTACGAGTGGAAACTAGTTCAGAGAGGATAAGAAAAAGGCGAAATTAGAAGTGCGTAGAGTCACAAAAAGACCAAGCCTTAAAGAGGGAGGGAAACAGATTGTTGGTTTGTATCTGCATTTGTATTTGTATAAAAACTCACTGATGAACAAATCAAAAGAGACTAGACTCCTTGAAATAGGTCTACACTCAGGTAGGGCTTGAAAACACAACAAATCAGGGTCAATCCAACAGTGGTCCCAAGAATTGCTATTTATTAAACACAGGAAAACCAGATCCCAATAGAAAGGAAAAAAACAAAAACTCTCCTTTAGACCTACATTGTGTAGGCCCATTGGCAGCACATCACTTGATTAAATGAAAATAGTCAAATAGAGTATCTATCAATGTGCAGAGCATGAAGCTTTCCAGTTAGTCCCAGGATTGTGTACATATCATGTGAGTTTCTGAGGAAGCAGAAGCCCTCCAGAGCTGAGGCCTGAGACCTCAAACTCATCTTTAGGAAGACAAATCATCAGGTGCTTGATGGTGTAGAGCAGAGGTTCAGGAACCCTCTGAAATGGTACCCTACACTTTGGCTGGCATTGAATTTTCCTGGAGAAAGGTGCATAGCTTTCAGCAGATTCTCAAAGAGTTCCATGACCCTGATAAGGTTCAGGACCACTGCAAGGGAGGACATCAGCTTCCTAAGAGCTCTTCCTAGAGGCAGTGAGCAACTGGCCAACAGGTAGATACATGTGTAGCTGTGCAAATAGAGCTGCCTTGAGGAAGAAGCCGCACAACATGGAAGTCCACAAGAAGGTGAAGCTCCCAAGAGTCATAGAAACCGTCTGTTTTTCTAGATATACGTGGGCCCCAACAGATATAGTGAGTCTACACAGTTTGTAGACTAAGACCTGACGCAACCAAAAAAAAAAAGAAAGCATCATGGAGGAGATAATAGGGGGAAAAAAAGAACCTAAAAAATAATTTAAAAGAAAGACAAATAAAAAGCATAAAATAAGATGGTAAAAATAGATCCAAGTAGGGCTTCCCTGGTGGCGCAGTGGTTGAGAGTCCGCCTGCCAATGCAGGGGACACGGGTTCGTGACCCTGTCCGGGAAGATCTCACATGCCGCGGAGCGGCTGGGCCCGTGAGCCATGGCCGCTGAGCCTGCGCGTCCAGAGCCTGTGCTCCGCAACGGGAGAGGCCACAACAGTGAGAGGCCCACGGACCACAAAAAAAAAAAAAAAAAAAAAATCCAAGTATATCATAAATTGTATAAACATAAATTGTATAAACTCATAATTTGTAATAAACATAAACTGTATAAACTCATCAGTTAAGAAATAGAGATTATCAAAAGGTACATAAGACAACATACAAGTTACATGCAATTTTCAAGAGATTAACCTAAAAAAGTCACAGAAAACAAAACGGTGGAAGAAGGATATATAAAGCAATACTAGAGGAAAGAAAGCTGGTACAGTTTTATTGACGTTAGAATAAATAGAATTTAAGGTGAAAAGCATTATTATACATAAAAAAGTATCATGACAAAATGCACACAAGAGTTTAATCCCCTAGGAAGATATAATGATTCTGAACCTGTATGTACCTAATAACATAGCCTCAAAACACCTAAAACGAAAACTGGCATAACACTATCACCTGTTAGAATGACCAAAAATCCAGAACATTGACAATACCAAGTGCTGACAAGGATGTTGAGCAGCAGGAACTCTCATTCATTGATGGTGGGAGTGCAAAATGGTACAGTCGCTTTAGAAGACATTTAGGTGATTTCATTCCAGACTAAACATGTTCTTACCATACAATCCACCAATTAAACTCCTTGGTATTTACCCAAAGGAGTAGAAAACTCATGTCCACACAAAAACCTGCACGCAGATGTTTATAGCAGCTTTATTCATAACTGCCAAAATTTGGAAGCAACCAAGATACCCTTCGATAGGTGTATGGATAAAGAAATTGTGGTAGATCCAGACAAAGAATATTATTCAGTGCTAAAAAGGAATGAACTATCCAGCCATGAAAAGACACGGAAGAATCTTAAATGCATATTACTAAGGGAAAGAAGCCGATCTGGAAAGGCTACATACTGTATGATTCCAATTGTATGACATTCTGGAAAAAGCAAAACTATGGAGACAGTAAAAAGATCAGTGGTTGACAGGGACTGGGCTTGAAAGGGTTGAATAGGTAAAGCACAGAGGATTTTCAGGGCAGTGAAAATACTCTATATGATATTATAATGATAGATACGTGTCATTATAGATTTGTTCAAACCCAAACAACACCAAGAGTGAACCCTAAAGTAAACTATGGACTTTGGATGATTACGATGTGTCAGTATAGGTTCATCAGTTCATCATGTACCCCTCTGGTGGGGCACGTTGATAATGGATGAGGCTGTGCATGTGTGGGGCAGGAGGTATATGGGAAACCTCTCAATTTTGCTGTGAACCTAAAACTATTCTAAAACAAATAAATTCTTTAAAAAAAACTGGCATAAACACAATCAGGAAACTCGAATCTGCCATTATGGTGGGAGAATTTAACATACCTCATACAGTATTTGAAAGATTAAGCAGACTAAAAATTAGTAAGAATGTAGACGATTGAATAAAATATTTTCTAAGCCTGAGCTAATGAACAAATAGAGAACCCAACTCCAGTCACTTAGCAAATACATTTTCTTCTCAACACACGTGGAATATAAAAACTGACAAGCAATAGGCCAAAGATTATGGCTCAGCAAATATTAAAGAATCAGCCTCATACTGTTACATGACTAAATGCAATTGTATTAGGAGTCAATAACAAAAATGATGTAAAAATCTCATTTATATAAAAAATTTAAAAGGTACACTTACATATGGGTCAAAGAAGGATATCATAATGGAAATTGTTGAACACTGAGAATTGTATAATACTGGGAAAACATACATCAAAATAAGGTACGTAGCTAAAGCAGTATTAAAGGGGAAGTGGATTGGGGAATTCCCTGGTGGGCAAGTCGTTAGAACTTAGCGCTTTCACTGCCCAGGGCCCAGGTTCAATCCCTGGTCAGGGAACTAAGATCTCACAAGCCGGGACTTCCCTGGTGGCGCAGTGGTTAAGAATCCGCCTGCCAATGCAGGGGACACGGGTGAGAGCCCTGGTCCGGGAAGATCCCACATGCTGTGGAGCAACTAAGCCCGTGCATCACAACTACTAAGCCTGAGCTCTAGAGCCTGCGAGCCACAACTGCTGAGCCCACACACTGCAACTAGTGAGCCCACATGCCACAACTACTGAGCCCGTGTGCTGCAACTACTGAAGCCCATGCGCCTAGAGCCCATGCTCCACAACAGGAGAAGCCACCGCAATGAGAAGCCCTCACACCACAACAAAGAGTAGCCCCCCTACTCGCCGCAACTAGAGAAAGCCCACACGCAACAACAAAAACCCAATGCAGTCAAAAAGAAATAATAAATAAATAACTTTTTTTTTTAAAAAGAGAGAAAAGATAAAACTTTTTTTAAAAAAAAAAGATCCCACAAGGTGTGTGGTGCGGGCGTGGGGGGACTATATATATATATATATATATATATATACACACACATATATATACACACACATATATATACACACACATATATATACACATATATATATACACACACACATATATATATACACATATATATACACACATATATATACATGCATATATATATGTATATATGTATAGGAGAATTGGGTTGACTTAAAAACTTATATTAGAAGAAAGGCCAAAAGTTAATGAGTTAAGCTTCCAACTCAAGAAGCTAGTAAGGGCTTCCCTGGTGGCGCAGTGGTTGAGAGTCCGCCTGCCGATGCAGGAGACACGGGTTTGTGCCCCGGTCCGGGAAGATACCACATGCCGCGGAGCGGCTGGGCCCGTGAGCCATGGCCGCTGAGCCTGCACGTCCGGAGCCTGTGCTCCGCAACGGGGAAGGCCACAACAGTGAGAGGCCCGCGTAGCAGAAAAAAAAAAAAAAGAAGCTAGTAAAAGAGAATAAGCTTAAAGAAACTAAAAGAAATGAATAATAAAAGATAGAAGAAATTTAAAATATAATAGAGAGCAGCAATAAAGTCAAACTACAGTGCTTCTTTTTTCCTCTCCCATTTGCGGAGCACAGGCTCCGGACGCGCAGGCTCAGCGGCCATGGCTCACGGGCCCAGCCTCTCCGCGGCATGTGGGATCCTCCCGAAACGGGGCACGAACCCGCGTCTCCTGCATCGGCAGGCGGACCCTCAAGCACTGCGCCACCAGGGAAGCCCTACAGTGCTTCTTTAAAAGAACTAATGAACTACAAAACCCCTGACAATTTTCATTAAGAACAAAGAGGGCACAAATAAACAATATTAGGAATTAAAAGGGGACATAACTACAGGAATAGAAGAAATTTGCAAACTTAACAGATATAGCCATTTTCCCAGAAAAACTTAACAGTAAAACTGACATCAAAATAAATAGTAAATTTTAATAGTCCTATAACCACTGAAGAAATTGAATCAGTGAGTATTAACTTATATTGTTTGAGGAACTATAGACGTGAACTATTTCTGGAGAGTAATCTGCAAATGTGTACTAACTGCTGTAAAACCCCTACCCAACAATATCATCCT